TTTATATTATAAGTAAGACTACACAACATGGACACGACTCATGACTCATTCTTGAACTTGAAATATTAGTTTGAAGGTTTCTTCTTGAAGGTACCAGCAGACTGTTAGCACTATATGGATCAGGATCCCCATTTTGTTTAGATTGCTCATGACATAACGCGATGCTCATGTCTGCAGCTAGTTTTGCACTTATCTACTGATTGACAGTTGATGACAAAGAATGTGTAACAATCAGGAGAAATATAATTTCATTACTGTATAATCACCTGAAATGAATTGTTATTGTCGTTACCTTAGAATGAGCTGTTTTATCCACAGAGGGAGACCCCCATGTTGAACCCAAACACTGTCTCCAGATAGTGGCATTTCATGGTGTCTGTAATTTCTCCTTCGCACTGGAAGGGCAGGGTGAAGCAAGGGAGTTGTGTTTTAAAATATTTAGAAAATGTGCTTTGCAGATGTTTATGAGGAAGGAAATGCATTCAGGGTAGTAACATAGACCTCAAGGATACACAGTGTGTTGTGGTGAGAAACACTGAATGTAAACATATATTTAGAAAACTCCACAGGGCACCTTTAAGGTCCACTTGCTAGCTTTTTATATAATATATATAGACATTGTTTACTAATAACTTCTGTGTTGAATGTCTTTAATATCTTTTTCTTTTGTGTCTTTTTCTTAATAGATTTGGGATATGAGCGATGATGAGAGCATCTGAAGGACTGGAGGAACAAACTCAGAGCCTCCAAAGGAATGGACACTACCCCATGTTTGTGTCTATTTTTTTTTTTTTTAAGGAATCTCATATTTACAAAGGACAAGGGGACAAATGCTTTGCGGTAAACAAACTGATAAAATCCACAAAAAAGAACATTACAAAAACCTCTTCAGAAAAGTAGCTGAAAAGCCTAACAATTCCTATTAGTGTACATTCGGATTCAAGATCACCCAAAGCATTGGACCTTCAGAATAGTACTGCTAAAATATTCAGTGAATAGTGAGTCTGTTTTTCCACTGTTACATTAGAAACAGGATCAGAGCTTTGAACAAGTTCATTTTCTACATTGTGTGTATGAAGCTGTTGTATTTTAAGGGAGGATGTACCTGCAGCTAACACTTGATGTGTAATCAGTCACATTTACTCAGTCAGTCAGTCAATTCAATTCTCTGAGCAAAAACACAACATCACCCTGTAATTATATTAGGGACTTTTTTGTCAAAAAGCTTAAAAGAACTCACTGAATGTTCACAGGTTCAATCCCACCCACAGTCTCTCCATCAACACATTTAATGGGCTTGTTGGAGAGTCCTTTGGCCAAACACAGACATACTACATCTGCTCACTCATTCAGTTTGGAAAAGAGCTTGAGATAAATTATGAAAATACAAAAACACATTCGACAACTCAGCAAATCCATCCATCTCTCTGTGTGCTCGTTGGAGACTGCGATACATGCAGTACAGTTAATACTAAAACCAGCTTGGTTGTTTTGTAGGAAACCTGCACACAGATGTTACTATACAGCGACTGAACTGTGGCTCCTGATATATAAATGACTTACTGTTACTGTAAACAACGTGGAACCTACAACGACACAGTTTAACGTAAAGCGCTTATAGAGAAACTGAAGGTCTTAATGATTTGTGTTGATGCATGCTCGTGTTTGTCTGTGCGATTTATGTCGCTTTTCTTACTCTGCCTATTTTTCTGAACTGCTAACATGTAAAATATTTTCAGTGTAATGTAAATTTCAACATCCACTTGGGATATTTATGGGAGAGAACGAGTGCAATGTGAAAAAGAGATCTGAGGTTCCTTTTTAGAATTTGAGATTAAAATTTAAAAAGTGAAGTCAGAATTGTGAGGACGCATAGTTACAAAATAAACTACAGAATTCCTTTGGATTTTATTCCCAAAATTGAGATTTAACTCCAAATTCTGACTTGGTTTTCATAATTCTGACTATTCTCAGAGCTATTTTTGATTATCTTTTTCTCTTCTGTAAGCATTTAACCAAAAACTGGAATAAAATGTCTCTTGATTATTTCTGTTAAAAACTGAGCTTTTTTTTTATTGCTGTATAAACAGTGGTTCATGTAGCTGGATCTTTCCAAAACTCATCTGCCCCTTTTTTTTTTTAGCATCTGTCTCAACCACTACACAACCACAAACACACCAAAACAGTTACAAAGAGAGGCCCACACAGTCAGACAGTGGTTTAAAAGCATTTTATTGTTCATCAAGGCTACTTACGTACAAAAAAGGTGGCCTGCCAAAACCTTTTTAGTAGGAGACACAGAGCCACAAATTGACTGTTTTCTTGATACAAATATTTTTTTTTTTTTTTTTACAGTTCAGAGTATTACTACCACTAAGTACATGCTACTTCCGCTTCAAAAAGGGATCTGGAAAATGTGGTAAAGAGCGACTCCTCTTTCATTTATCTGCACAATTTTAATGTTTACAGAGGCAAAATGGCCTCCACCGATGGGAACAGCAACATGAGACAGGGTGACTTCCCCAAAGCTCATTTGCTACTTAAATCATCTCAGCCTCACTGGCTGGCAACGGAGCAGGTGGAATTGAGCACAGAATATGTACAAAAATGCTGTCAGTTCAGTTTGAGTATTTTGATTTCAGCAAAGTTAAACCAATCAGACAAATGCTCTCAAATAGACTGTTTTTACTTGAAGCTCAGTTCCCATCTGTAGACCAAGTCATCTTAAGACGTTTAAAACCCACAATTTACAATGCTTTACTAATGTTATTTTATTTTTAATAGTTAAATGGAAATGATTTGGAAATGGCCGGCAAGACTCACAGTGGCAAAACATTATGTTTCATCAATGCAAAACATGCAAATTGCTCAAGGAGGCCTCTAAACAGGACAACCTCTTTTTGCTCACAAGTGAAGCTTTTGTTCAGATGTCTCAGAAGTCACATGTTGAATGATTGCAGAACATTGGGGGCCAATGGAAGTAGCGATTGTCACCGACACACCAGTGGCTTATTGTGGTTTCATACGTTTACTGTGTTCCTGCACTTGAACCTTTACTCTAACAAGACAAACTCTATAAACAAAAAAGATCAACTTTTTTCACAAAAAAGAAAATGCAATGATTACAATATAAGGACAGGGAAAACCAACAATTAAATAGCTACATATCATTAACAAATTAATTGTTCCTCAAAAAATACCTACGATTTTTTTCTCTGTACATTCGTTACGCACAGCGTAATGATGGTCTTATAGTTACCTATTATAAAAAAGTATTTTTTTATTAAGTGATTTTCCTACAGTGTGTAGGGAGTGTGTGCCGAAGCAGAAAGAGAGCCTCCTACCTACAGGGTGGTAGTGAAATGATAATGAGAAAGAATAATAATAGAAAAACAAAATCCTCTGGACACTGAGCCCTTTTCCCTCGTGTTTTCTAGCATGGTCTACATCCAATCTTAAATCAGGGTCAACTAAATCTGAAAGGAGGGGGAGGCATCGCTGTGAGACCTTCAAAAGACTTTCAGTGGCAGCTGAACGTCTCCTGGCGTCTCCACAGGTCGTGTTACAGAAGCTCAGCTCCTGAAGCTCTGCCCCCACCCCCAAAAACCTGCCTGCTAAATCATCATCAAACCACTCTGAATCGGTCACAGAAAGCACGTTTAGATCGTAGAGTATTCATTCGTAATGGAAACTGATTCACTAGCAGTTGCGCTGCGATTCAATTTTTTGTGTATCTGAAGATTCTAGAACTTTTATCATCAGTTCTTGTTCGCTCACATTTGTTCTGATAGTTGAGGATGGAATGTGTGGACATTCTAGAACACTGAGAAAGCGTTCTATTTAGGTACTTCTGTAACCGATGTACTCATTACACTCGATAAAAAATGACCTAAACCAAACAAATATGAACCTCAGCACCTGTCAACCTCAGCTCAGAGACAAGTTTTCACTGTTACAACCCCAGTTACTCTACATTCTATGCTCTGAATGTCCTCAAAAATGTTATGGCATATATGCTTGTTTGTTCATTTATCACACAGTGTGGATTTATGGCCAATTTGCTAAATGCAAAGACAAAACAAAAAGTGGAAACCTTGTAATTCCGGTAAAGACACAAGAAACCCTGTTGACAGGGAACTCTGGGACAGTTGGCTGGTTATTAGCTCAGTCTGTTGATATGGAGATACTGAGAGTATGTATGAGGCCTGAACAAAGTTCCCTATAGGAGGAATGTATGCCATGTTGGCGCAGGCGCTTTTACAGAGTAAAACTCATTTTCTCAGTCTGCAGCAGTCTAGCTTAACTGCAGCAACAATACAATGTTGTTCAGAAAAGAAAGCATTGACATACAACAAAACAAAAGTCTGGACACCAAGTCAGGACACAAAAGGTCAACTGATGACGGTCGAAAGAGCTGTGGTATCGCACGATAAATTCAGATAACCCCCGATTTTTGTTTTGTCTGCCACCATCTCTCTGCCGCGGTTTCCACAGCTCTTCCACGTCAACAAGATGTCTGAGAACTGTCATCACAGGCTCTCATCATTACCGGTACCTTGTTTCCCAAAAGCATCACAGCGTTCTAGCCTGTACTGTACAGCGTACTTTTCAGACTGCAGCAAGAATGTGGGTAGAGGCAGGTGATGATTTAAAGACGATCGCCAAACAGAACATTTTTTATTTGACCTCAGGCTGGGGTGCTTTTCAGGAAAACAAGGCCCTGCTGACTAATTTGTGCCAATTTGGTGTCTCAGCTCGGTCACGCTGAAGGTTGTAGCATCCTGTACCACCGATGGATCAACATCTTAAGAAAACCTTTACTGGCTGCGTATCCCAAAGCCAACTCGACACTAGCAGCCGCACAGCTCTGTTGCAGGAATGAGCTGGCGGATTACTGCGCTGAGGTGGTTTTGAGAAACGCAGCTCTCATCGTTAAACAGAGCCTGTCCGGAGGCTGTCCCACTATAGATGTTTGTTACCATACTGATATTAATGGAAAACAAAAATACAAAATTGTAATAATAACAATAACAATAATAATATGGAGTACAACTGACCCAGCAGTGAGTGTATAGTGTCTATGTCTGTTACTGACAATGAAAGAAGTAACAACTAACGTCCAAATGAAAAAGGCTAATAGTAGTTAAGATTGAAATGCTTAAAAACATTAATAGATACCAGCTATTAAAAAAAAAAAAAAAAAACATGCATCTGTAAAAGCATTAGTTTACCCTTCAAACCTTGTAGAAATCTATCAAACCACAGTGTGTATGAGAGGGAGGGATAGCAGGGTGTAAGCCAAATATAATTACAACACCTGTGTTCAAAGAGTAACAAAAACAAAGGTGTGTTTGAAGAGATCTGAATAATCTTCTCTCCCCCGGTCTCGAAACCAGACTTCTTTTTTTCTTTTTCTTTTTTGCAACCACTAAGTGACATGCAGCCTCATCTATCCCCTCATCACTGTCAGCAGTTAAGCCGGTGAAACACATCAAAAGCACATTGTTCAGCAGAGCGCAACGTTCGACACACTGCAGGTTATACAACTGTCGTTCGCAGTCCTGACGTCCTCTCGTGGTGTCTGTGATGTCCATCGACACCACGGGCTAGCTGATTTGAAGACTTGACTGTGCTTGCAAAAAGAAATGCAACAACTTGGCACCATTTAAGTGTGTGAAGTAGTTTTGTATGTTTTTGTTGGGGCGGAAATATATTTATCAATCAACGCCACTTAATTAACATTTGGATGTACGTGTAGTCGCTCACAACACGCATGTACAGCTGGTATGTAGGGCTGGGCAGTACGATGTGTTTACTATGGCAATATATCCTGAATACTGAAGATGTTGTACATATTTTCCCCACATAGTTTTTAAAGGATTTCACATTTAGAATAAAAAGGTGAATGGAGAAATTCACTACATCCACATCATCTCCACTCCTGTTTAACCTCACCTAAAAAGGTGCTTCATCAATAGTTTAGATACGGCTTGGTTTGAGATAGTCAGACCTGACAGTGGTTGCCAGAGGTGACAATAACAATAGCAAGCTTTTTTTTTTTTTTTTCACCCACTCACCATGCAAGCATGCATTTGCACTAATCAACATGAACACATGGTATCCAAATGCATATTACTTTGGATATCTCAACGTTTTATACTGCCCAACCCTACTCGAATGTATTTTCCATTTTTTTTAAATGCACTCAATAAATAATACATAATAATAATGTGGCTTGTTCTGTCAGGGCCAGGATGAAATGATTCCCAGGTAGATTTAAAAAAACAAAAACGTTAATGGGAGATCAAATAGAGGTTCTAACAAAAGCTGGATTATACTATATTGCGTCAAAATCAGCTTTATCAGTCCCAGTGTGTGCAGTGCCAGATTACAATATTGACATGCCACCCTTTACCCTCTAAGGCAGTAGTGCAAATCAGACCAAGTCAATCACCCAAATATACACATACAGTAACAAAACTGCCAAAACACATACACAGAAGAGAGGGGGGAGAGAAGGAAGGTGAGAGAATGCAAACAGATAAAACAGAGGGAGGAGATTACAAGATGGCTTTTTGTTTTGTTATTCAAAGTGGGCATCGATAAACATCAGTGTCTGAGGTTTCTTTGGTAGCACAGTCAGGTGGTTTGTGATTATTTTCTCCAAAGTGTTTCTCACTTATCTTTTCTCTCAAATGTCGGGCATCTCAAAATGCGAAAGCAGTACACAAAACTACTGTTAAAGAAACAAACAAAATAAAAACAAAGAAGAAAGTTAATAATTAAAACGCCGCCTTTCCTCTCTCTCGTTATGTACATATAACTACAGACACTTGCTCAGCTCCAAGGCATGCAGGGATGATCAATGATTGGAAGGAGCAGCTTGATGCTCCAGTCAAGTCCCAAAGTCGAACCCTCATTACTGATTTTTGTCTGGCATTAGCATACCAGAGGACAGAAGGAGAAAAAAAACAGCTGTGTTGTTATTGCTTGGTTGATCCTCTATGAGTGCATAGAAAGAAAGAGCAGGCATGAGGGTTTTTGGATGTTTTTAGCAGA